ACCGACTGAGCCACCCAAGTGCCCTTAAAATTAATTTAACTTGTTTCTTTTTACTTTTTTCTTCATGTGGCTACCAGAAAACTTCGAAGTATGCACACAGCTCATGTTTATACTTCTATTGGGCAGTGCTGGTGCAAAAAGTACCAGTCTTTTGAAATTTGTTGAGATCTGCTTTATGGTCCAGACTGCGGTTAATTTTATCTATCACATGTATCCTTGAGAAGAATATGTATTTTTTATTTGTTAGGAAAAGTCTTCTATATATGTACACGTCCTATATATGTACACGAAGAAGTTTTTAAATTGTTTCTATCAGGGGCATTTGGTTGGCTCAGTCAGTTATGCCTCTGCCTTGGGCTCAGGTCATGATCCCAGGGTCCTGGGATGAAGCCCCAGGTTGGGCTTCCTGCTCAGTGGGGAGCCTGCTTCTCCCTCTCCCTCTGCCCCTCCCCCGCTTGTGCTCTCTTGTTCTCTTTCTCTGTCAAATAAATAAATAAAATAGTTTTTATCAAATCTTTTTAATCTTTACTATTTTGTCAGCCAGATTCATCAACAGGGAAGTATATTAACATTTCTTGCTATAATGGTGGATTTTTTTTTCTTGCAGTTTTGTCACTTTTTGCTTTATGTTTCTTGAGATTATGTTACTAGATGCTTATCATTTAGAGATGTGATAGCTTCCTGGTGAAACTGCTTATCTTTATTTAGTGAGGTCTTTGCCCCTAGTTATTTTTTTCCTTGAAGTCTGTTTTGTCAGATAGTAATATGGCTATGAAGCTTTATTTTGCTTGGTATTTGTCTGTTCACATATTATTCTATTTTCTTCTTATACTCTTTTTTGCATTTTTGGGTTTTTTTTAAGATTTTTATTTATTTGACAGACAGAGATCATAAGTAGGCAGAGAGGCAGACAGAGAGAGGAGGAAGCAGGCTCCCTGCTGAGCAGAGAGCCCGATGCAGGGCTCCATCCCAGGACCCTGGGATCATGACCAGAGCCGAAGGCAGAGGCTTTAACCCACTGAGCCATCCAGGCACCCTGCATTTTTGTATTTTAGAAGTGGGTCTTATAAATATCCTTTAATTAGGTTTTTAAAAAAATTTTTAAAGACTTTATTTATTTATTTGACAGACAGAGATCACAAGTAGGCAGAGAGACAGGTAGAAAGAGAGGGGGAAGCAGGCCCCCCGCTGAGCAGGGAGCCAGGTGCAGGACTAGATCTCAGGACTCTGAGATCATGACCTGAGTTGAAGGCAGAGGCTTAACCCACTGAGCCATCCAGGCACCCCAGGTTTTCTTTTTTTTAAAGGCCTGATTTTTTTGTATTTATCTCAAGGATTGGTCCATTTTCATTTGTTGTAGCTACTCATTTATTTGAATCTATTCCTACTGTCTTATTTTGAGCTTTGCATATATATCCTGCCTTTTCTATACCTTTTCCCCTTTTATTGCCTCCTTTTAGATTGATTCTTTTTTCTTTCTTTTTTTTTTTTTTTAAAGATTTTTATTTATCTGAGAGAACAAATGGGATGAAGGGCAGAGGGAGAAGCAGATTCCCTGCCGAGCAGGGAGCTGGATGCAGGACTCCATCTCAGGACTCTGGGATCATGACCTGAGCTTAAGGCAGATGCTTAACTGACTGAGCCACCCAGGAGCCCTGATTATTTTTCCGTATTCCTTTTTTATCCCTCTAGTAGTTTGGAATTTTCTATGCCCTGTTTACGTTCTTTTGGTGGCAATTTTGGAAATTTTAAAACCAATACCTAATTTGTCAAAGTTGAAAGGTAGTTACTACTATTACCTGCCTCTGAAATGATATAAGTACCCTGGGATGCTTTAATTAAGTCCAGTTAATTACATTTAATTGCTTTAAATGCACCTTCCCAATATATGTGCTATTATCCAGTAAATTGGTCCTATCTTATTTTTAATCCCCCAATTACACACTGTTAAAATTTCATATGATCAATGTTCATATAGATGTAACAACCTGTTTGTTATTTTCTTTGCTCAAAATTCCTCCTTGTATCTCGGCTTTTCTCTCAGGTATTATTTCCTTTTTTCTGCCTCAAGTTCATCCTTTAACATTTTGTTTCTTGTGGGGCACCTGGGTGGCTCAGTCAATTAAGTGTCTGCCTTTGGCTCAGGTCATGATCCCCGGGGTCCCTGAGGTCGCCGGGTTTGCTGGGATCAAGCCCACTGTCGGTTTCCCTGCTCAGTGGGGAGTCTGCTTGTCCCTCTCCCTCTGCCCCCCACACCTCTGCGCTCTCTCTTTCTCACTCAAATAGATTAATTAATTTAAAAAACCATTTTCCTTCTTGAGAAAAATAAAATTATTAAGAATAACAATAATTCTCTTGGTTTTCACTAGGATATCTTTGTCTGATCCTCATTCTCAAAAAATACGTGTATGGGTCCCCAGTTGATAGTTATTTGCTTTAAGCACATTTGAAAATACTATTCTACTCTGTTTTGCCTTCCATTGTGACTGTTGAGAAGTTAGTGGTTAGTCTAATTGCCGTTCCTTTGTAGCTAAAAATGTCTTGGTGAGAAGCCTTTATAGCATATGGTTAAAGGTGTGGCATCTAGAATCAGACTGCCTGGATTTAAATCCCAGCTCTTTGGTCTGGTAGCTGTGAGACACTGGGCAAACTGATTAGCCTCTGAGTGCCTCTGCGTGCCTCAGTTTCCTCTTCTGTGAAAGGGGGACGATAATAGTAACAGTACCTAAGCTTATAGGGTTTTGGTGAGGATTAAATGAGCTAATGGAAAACATTCACAGGAGTGGCGGCACATTTTCAGTGCTATTAAAGTGTTAGCTGTCATTTCTTTCTCTTTATGTTCTTAGGATCTCCTCCTCACTGGTGTTGGGCAATTTCACTCCGTGGTGCCAAGCTGTGGCTTTACTTTTTCTTCTCCTGTTTGAGATTCACTGAGCTTTTTGAATCTGTGAATTGTTGTCTTTTACCAATTCAGGAAAAGTCTAAGCCATATATCTTCAAATACTGCCTCTGTCCGGCTCTCTCTCCTCTCTCCTTCTGGAACTTTAGTCAGATTAATCAGTCCTTTTCACTCGTTCACCGTGTTTTCTTTTCTTTTCTTTTTTTTTTTTAAAGATTTTATTTATTTATTTGACAGAGAGAAATCACAAGTAGGCAGAGAGGCAGGCAGAGAGAGAGGAGGAAGCAGGCTCCCTGTTGAGCAGAGAGCCCGATGTGAGGCTCGAACCCAGGACCTGGGATCATGACCTGAGCCGAAGGCAGCGGCTTAACCCACTGAGCCACCCAGGCGCCCCTCGTTCACCGTGTTTTCAAAGTCTCTGTGTTGTGAATACTCTGCATCATTTACTTATTTTTAAAAATATTTTATTTATTTATTTGACAGAGAGAGGGAACCCAAGCAGGGGGAGTGGGAGAAGGAGAAGCAGGCTCTCTGCTGAACAGGGAGCCCGATGTGGGACTCGATCCCAGGATCCTTGGATCATGACCCAAGCCAAAGGCAGACGCCGAACAACTGAGCCACCCAGGCAGCCCTACTCCGGATTATTTAAAATGTTTTCTAGTTCTCCAGTGTATTCAGCAGTGTCTAATAGGCTATCAGACCTATTATAATATAATAACATAATATAATATAAGACATATTATATTATATTATAATATAAGACATGGAGTCTTATATTTTCATGATTATCCCATTTTTATTTCCAGAAGTTGTGTTTGGTTCCCAACCAAATCTGCTTGGTTATTGTGTAATATCGTTTTGACCTTCACTCACATGTTTAACTCCTTCTTTTGTGTTGTTAAACATGTTACCCATATTTTGTATTCTAGTCTGATAAATCCAGCATCTAAAGTCTTTGCTGGTCAGATTCGGCTGCCTTTTGTCTTGGAGCCTCATAAAGCTGATGGACAGGCCCCCGAGACAGGGGCCAGTTAGAAAGTTTTAAGCCATGGAGGGCTGTTCTTAATGTCTTTCCTGCTTTCCTTCCCAGATATCCCACTTTCTCCCCCCATCCCTTTGCCTCAATTTACTTTTCTGAAAGGCTGATTCATCCCCATGATTTAAAAAAAAAAAAAGTGAGAAGCCTCTTTTCCAGCTCCCTGTCCCTTTCCTACTGCCAGCCTCTGCTTTTAGGTTTATGGATACTTCCAGAGATATTTTATGCAGATTCAAGCAAATACAAATTTAAAAATTCTTTCTCTTTTAAAGCAAATGGGAGCACACTACACACATTGTTCTAAACTTGTTTTTTAATTTTAAAAAATATGTTTCTGCTTATAAAAGAAATACATGCTCATTTTGAGTAACATAAGTACCCAAGTGTCTACAAGCGGAAACTGAAAGTCCCTCTGGAATTTCATTCCCCAGAGATAACCTGCCTTTTGCGTCTATAAATACATATTTACATAAATGGGCCTTTTGCAACAATACTGCTCTGTAACCTATTTTTTTCCCTCCAAATAATACACCCTGACATCTTCCCATGAATCTTTCCGCATCTGTCAGTGCTGTCCACATAGCCCACAGCTCAGTGCCTGGGCTTGGGTCAGACAGAAGTAGGCTCGAGCCCTAGCTCTGCTGCGTGGTTAGCTGCGGGACTTTTCAGATCCTCTCTGACCCTCAGTTTCCCTCATCTGGAAAATGGGGGTAGAAATGGTACATACCGCATGGTGTTGATCTGGGACCCGGAATAAGGTCTTGTGTGATGTGTTTCCTTCGGGGAAGCTACGTTATAAGCCTCTGATGAATGACATATTGATTTTATTATGACTCACTCTACTCGGTGGCCGGTTAGAATCCACAGGATGATATGTGATGGTTAATTAATCATTCCCCCTTTGATGGACATTGGAGGGTACACATTTGTTTTTTTGTGGGGACTTTTTGCCAATCCTGTGAACACTGAACTTCTTTTACCTTTGTGTGAGTGTCTTCATGTGAACTCCCTCCAAAGGGGTCACTGGTCCTCTGAATCCTAACCTCTGCCTCCTTTCTCTCCAAGGAGGAAATGGAAATGCCCCATGGGGTGAAGCACGTGTGTTACGTAGGTTTTTGCTTTTTCTTACTGCTCTTCTTCCTCCCTCTCCTCAGGTCTGGGGGGATGGGAGGGGTCTTCCTAGAGGACCTAGAGTTAATCCTGCCCCACCCCCTCTCCTCCAGAGCATGGTAGCACTCCCCACCCCCGGTGGTGCTGAACCTCAGACTTCCAGTTTTCCCCGACCTTTGGAACCTGACCATTCATGAGAATTCATTCAAAGATTAGATTTCAGACCCTGCTTTCACAGTAGTTCCCTGTGGTTTGCAATAAATCAAAAGAATCAAAACATACTTGAAAAGGGATAAAAGCCTCAAGTTAGAGAAAAGGGGGAAGTGAAGGGGAAATCTTGGTATGACAACCTCTCACCCTCTGCCAATCCTGGAAAGGTACGACTGTTGGACTCTAAGTTAATGCTGAGCTTCCTGGCAGCCAGGGCAAAAAGGGGGAGCAGGATAGAGTCTATAATTCATCAAAAGACCAAAAACCACTCTACCTTGAAATGCTTATAAGCAGCTGGAGTGAGCGGGGAAGGTGAGAGGATGAGAATGAAGACCAGCTCCTCTCCTGGCATAGAGATCCTTGCAGTCCGCACACATTTCTTGAATGCTACTTCGTGTCAGTCCTGTTCTAGGCAGTGGGAATATAGTGGGACCAAGACATCCATGCTCTCTGTCCTCCTGCGGCTTACAGCACAGCGAGGAGAGAGACAGTAAATGAGTGCAGAGGAAGTAAGCTCTCCAAATGGGCCTTCGATGCTGCTGCTCCTTGGTTCTTAGGTACTTTCCTCCCCCTGCAGCTTGGTTGTGGGGCAGTGCTCCACCTCCTGGGGGCCCTCCGCTGTGGCCAGGCAGGGGAGCCGCAGCCCCCAAAGCTGGAGGTGCTGGAGGACATGATGGAGGTCAGCTTAGCATCGCCTGTCCAGAGACCCAGAAGGAAGGAAAGGCCCATGGTCCAAGGCCCTGCCAGGTGCCAGGTACAGAGCAAGTTCTTCATATAGACAGTGTTCCATCATCCCTGCCCAGGGACGCTGTCACACCTGCCTCACAGAGATGTCACGGCCACCACACAGCTGTGACCTGCCCATAGTCACATTGAATGTGCTAGCCAGAGACGGGGTTAGACCCCCCACTTGCCTGCTATCGGGGTCTGTGTGCTCTTTGTCCAGCGCTCCTGAATTCCCGAGCTTGACTGGAGCAAGGGAGGGGCTGGGCCTCCAGTGCATTTGGAGGGGGAGCAGTTGCTGACCTTTGTTCCTGGCTGACCAGCATGTTCTGCCATCCGGAGGTCCTCTAGCCCCCTCCCTCTGGAGGGATGGTATGGGCCCCTGGTGGCCTCTGACTTTTTCCGCTGTCCGAAGCCATTCCTTTCTCTTTCAGGAGGGGGCTCCTGTGTGTGAGGCCTGTGCTGAGTGTCCTGGGATGAGTGCCTCTCTCCCCACCGCCCCCCTGCTGAAGCAGGCAGAAGCTGGGGAGGTGATAATGAGGGGAGCAGTGCCCCCTGGGGCTGGGAGGCTACTCCCAGAGTCATGGCCTCAGTTCCTCTCCCCTTCTGGGCAGTGCGGCCCAGTGGAGGCTGAAGAGGAGGAACCTGGTGAACAGGATGGGGGAGAGGACTCAGGTGAGATGCCAGGGAGGGAGCCCTCCCAGGAGCTGCTTCTGGCCCCAGCCCCTGCTAGGACTCTTCTCTCTCTCTCGCCCCATCCCCCAGTCTCACTGCCCGCAGTCCTTCCACAGAGGTATGGGGCTGCTAGCTGCCTGGGACTGGACCCAACGGCTCGGGTTCCTAAAGTTGGGAGCCCCCAACCTTGCCTACCTGAACCCTTCAGCATTGAGTCACCCCTGCCCCTTGCTCTTCAGGCATCCCATGGGGGTTTGTGACTCTTTCTCTCTCTTTCTCCCTCTCCCCCCATGCAGCTCAGCTTCAGCCCCAACAGGAGAAGCTGTCCCTGGATGTCGGGGTCCGGGCTACGGTGGTCCATGCCTTACAGGAGGTGCTGCGGAATCGGTAAGGACTTGCTCCCCACTTCCCTGACATCCCACGTCCTGAGAGCTGTCCTCGCCTCCAAGGCCCATGCTGCCATGTTCTCAGGGCTTCTAAGTGTGTGACAAACCCCATTTTGTAGCTGTGAGCTCATCTGCCTGCACAGCAAGCTGGTGGAGAGGTGACATTTGAACCTGGGTCTCTCTGGCTGCAAGTTCACGCCCTCCCCTTAAGCCACTGGGCTGTTCCTGTCCTTGTGATTGCCACCCACAGCAAATGCTTTCAGACACAGTGAGACTGTGCATCTCTCATTTACAATGGTGAGACCAAGGCTCAGAGAGGGTAGGACTTGGTAAAGGCCACACAGCAAGTCAGTGGCAGAGTCTGGGTTACACTGAGGGCCAGGGCTCAGTCCCCTGCCTGGCTGCTTCCTTCCCTTTTCCCCCAGGCTTCCTCCAACCCAGTTCCACTGGCCAAGGATAAAGTGTGGGCCGATCAGTCAGATCTTGCTTTGCCACTCATCATGAGGCCTTGGGCAAGCACCTTATGTTCTCTGAGCCTTGCTCACCGCATCTGTAAATGGTGAATGAGAATATGGCTTGCTCGCAGAGCTGGGGTGAGAATGAACGCATATACGTAGGGAGATGCACAGAATAGGACCCACAGTTGGTCCAGACCCTGCCCCATACTTGCCCTGTCCGGCCAAGGGCCTAGATCACCTTGCAGGCTCAGAGCCGTGGCTTCCGCAGCCTCCAGGAGCTCCCAGATCTGGTGCTGAGTGAGGAGGCGGTGGAGGGCATGGCTGCTGGCATTGAGACAGCCCTCTTCGATCTGACACAAGCCACCAGCTGTCGCTACAAGACCAAGTACCGCAGCCTGCTGTTCAACCTGCGTGATCCCCGGAATCCGGTGCGCGGAGCTTGGGGGCGAGCCCAGACCCTCCCTTGGAGGCTCGAAGCCCAGGCAGGATATTGGGGTGGGGGGTGCTTCTGGAGCAGTGTGGTGCAGCCCCCATGTCTGCCCCTGCAGGACCTGTTTCTCAAAGTAGTTCGGGGAGATGTCACCCCCCACAACCTGGTGCGGATGAGCTCCACCCAGCTGGCCCCCCAAGAGCTGGCCCGCTGGCGGGACCAGGAAGAGAAGAGGGTGAGCTGTTGGGTCAAGTCAGGATAGGTGATGTGGGAGGGATCCGGGGAGGGGAGGGCCCGAGGGTGCTGCAGGGAGACAGAACAGAGTGGGGGTGCAGTGAGATTCGGGGAGCACAAGACAGAGATAAAAAGGAGGAAATGGAAAGAAAGAGCAGGAAGACAAGGAAAGAGAGAGAGAGAGACCTCTCTACAAAAAAAAAAATGGACAAGAGGCAAAAAGGAAAAGGCCTGGTGATGGAGAGCTTGGTGGAGTGTGGACCCGTGAGAGGTGTCATCTTCCATTTGCTTTTCTGCAGAGCTGGGCTGTGGGCAGGGGTGGGGGTACTGGGTGTGATGGTCTGGGGTCTGGAGTCCAGGATTGTCATCCATCACTGATGGGGGTAGACCCCCCTGGGATGTCTCTGTTCCCACATCAGCGTCAAAAGCCCCAGAAAAGTCTTCCTGGTGCCTCAGGCTGGAGGAGGGACCCCACAGCCCTCATGCTTCATAGTCACATCCTCATATAACCCATGTCCATGAGTCTCTTCCTTCCTGGGGACGGCTCAGGGACAGGGAGGGTGTGGGCACTGAGCTAACTTTAGGGAATGCTTGCCAGTGGTCCCTGACGGAGAGGGGTCTGATCTCGGAGTAGGCTGGTGGGGCGGGGTGGGCTGCTGTGGCCTCCGTTCTGGAAGATACTAGGCTGATTAGATCCACCTGGAATCCGCTAGGTGACTCTGTCCACTGTAGGCTGAGCCTCTGTCCAGGTACCTATGGGGGACCAGGAGCAGGACCAGCTACATATCTTGTGAGGGGCAGGGCCGAACAAAAATGTGTGGCCTTTTGCTCAAGAAGCAGTAAGAATTTTAAGATGGCGACAGCATGAAGCAAGAGGCCGTGTGAAGGGCCATGGCCATGTAAGCGCAGGAGCCCTCAGTCGTGAGGCGAGCCCCGCCAGGGAGGACGGGACCTCCTCCAGGCTTCCAGGAAACATTTCAGATAAGATGACGTTGATCAACAGTAAGAATGACGGGTAGCATTTACTGTGAGCCAGGCTCCAGCCAAGCATTCTACATTTGTCATTTAATTTAATGCCCTTAATTTAATTCCTCGAAAACAGATACATGGAGGCTCAGAGCAGTGAAGTGCTTGTCCAAAGCCACACTGCCTTGGGGGGTCTCTAGTCACGACCCAGCTGATGCTTCCGAGCCTGCACTCTTTCCACCGCACCGTGTTCTTCCCAAGCCAGAGGGTGGGGCATGGTCAGAGGCAGAATTGACTTGTGGGAGAAGATGAAGTCCAAGAAGGCTTGCTGGAGGAGGCAGGGCTCGAGTTTGGAGGGTGAATGAGTGAGCTCTGGAGCAGTAGGGCTGAGGGGAGAGGGCTTGTTAGGCATGGGGAACAGTGGAAGCAGAAGTGTGAAGGGAGAGGAAGGGGTGGCCCAGGAGGGGGTCCGAGGGAGAGGGGCCTCCCCGGGGGAAAGTGAACACCTGGGCTCCTGGTAGGCTGGGACCCCCTGACCTGGCTGAGTTTGGGCTACTTGCCCCCCCCCACCTCCGCTGCCAGGGCCTGGAGATCATTGAGCAGCAACAGAAGGAGTCGTGCAGCCTCCCAGCCTTCAAACTGACCCACAAGGGTGAAGTAGAGATCCCGCGCGACATGGACCAGACGCTGACCCTGGAGGACCTGGTGGTAAGCGGCCGCCTGACCTGGCACTGGGGGCGGAGAGGGGGGTGGTCTGGTGCCCAGGGTGCCACTCCTCACCTTGGCAGCTGGATGGCCTGAGCAAGTTGCTGGGCCACTGTGAGTGCCAGGGTCTTCACTGTGAACAAGGGGATGGTCGTTGCCACAGGGGTCCAGCCGAACAGGGGGCAGGACTGAACCCCTGGGACTGGCCTGTCCTCACCTTCTCCGCGGTCCCCTCCTTCCGGCCTAATGCCAAGTCATCCCATGGGAGTGGGAATAAGTCTTATCACTGCTGCTTTCTCCAGCCCCAGTCGTTCTTGCCAGATCTCTGGTTGGGAAGCAGGAGGGTCACACTGTTTGAGTCAGCGACTGTTTTTGGATATGAGGAACAGAGACCTACTCTCTTTGGTGGCAGGACTTTGGGGTGCTGAGGGCGCAGAACCACCCAGAGCCCAGGGCTGTCACTACACTCCCCTTGCATTGCTGGGGATCTGCTCCTTCCTCCCTGTTGCGCACCCCCCTTCTTGCACGTGGCCTGTCACCGTGCCTCAGCAGCCCTCAAATCAATGAACTCATCACCAGCTCAGCCTCCCGCAGATGATCAGAACTCCCCCTCGGTTTATTTCAGTCACTCCCGGGAGGCTGGTCTGGTTTGGCTTAGGTGTTCCATGTCTCAGATGCTCACCTGCCTCTAATAAGCTCTGTGTCCGGGGTGGACAGCGTGGATGGACCCCGTGAGCCACGTGCTCTCAGTAAATGAGAGTGAACGTGACAGACAAAAATCCCCGCTCACTCCCGCTGCCTGCGTGGAAAGGGTTTCCCAGCAAAACCAATCTGTATTCCCCAAATAAGTGGCACCTAAGTGTAGAGGGAGGAACTAGAAAACCCAGAAAGGAGCCCTCGCCGGGGAGAGAATGGCAGAGAAGCGGAGAGGGGAGTCACACGTAATAACATCTTCACTCCTTATCCAGCCCCACTGTATGCCCCTTTGACAAACAGTGCCTCGTTCGGATCTCACAGTGACTTACGAGGTGGGTGATGCCAGTGTCCTGGATGAGGAACCCGAAGCCCTGTGCCCAGGGTCACTTAGTTGGTCTTGAGGGGAGGCTGTGATTTGAGGCGTGTGCCTTGGTGCTACTCTGGAGGTGGTTTATGAGGCCAGAGTGGAGCTTCTGAATCTTTCAAAATCTTCCTAAAGCTATGTTTCGTTTGTGTTTATTTTTTATTTTTTTAAAGATTATATTTAAGAGAGAGAGAGAGAGAGAGAGCGTGTCCTAAGCAGCAGGGGGGAGGGGTAGAAGGAGAAGGAGGCTCCCGTCTGGTAGGGAGCCTGAGGTGGGGCTTGATCCCAGGATCCTGGGATCATGACCTGGGCTGAAGGCAGACCCTTAACTAACTGATCCACCCAGGCGTCCCTGTTTTGTAGTTAAAGCTATTTCTGTTGTGAGGGGAAAAGGTGATTTGATAGAGAGCATCAAGTCTTAAAAATGTTCATTCTCAGGCTCCTGGGTGGCTCAGTTGGCTGAGGTCACGATCCTGGAGTCCCGGAATCGAGTCCTGCATCAGGCTCCCTGCTCAGCAGGGGGTCGGGTTCTCCCTCTGACCTTCCCCCTCTCCTGCTCACTGGCTCTCATTCTCTCTCTCAAATAAATAAATAAAATCTTTAAAAAAAAATAAAATGAGAAAAGAAAAAAGAAAAAAAATTGCTTATTCTCCCTGATTCTGCCATCTGCTTCTGAGAACTTGTCCCGAGGACAGAGATGAAAGCTTAGGAAAGTGCTCTCTGCATAAGGATGTCCTCAGTACTGTTTGTAATGATGAAACTCTGGGAATGACCCCACCATCCAGGAGTGGTGGCAATGCACATACGATGCCCCTCTCCACCCCCCCCACCCCCATCCCCCGCTTACTCAGGTGCTGGGCAACACGGCAGGCATCTCTGCTGTAATTCAGGGATGCGATGAGGATACAGGCGGAATATATGATCCCAGCTATTTTACTTAAAGGAACCCCACACCCTGTGTGTAGGAAATCTGCTACAAGGACAAGTGTCTCTGAGTGATGGGGCCAGGGGTGACTTTTCAGTGATTTTCAAATTTTCTGTATTTTCCAAGTTTTCTCCAACACCTTCACCGTATCTCTGTAATAAAAGAATGTATTATGTGGAAAAATAAAACCTTATCCCCAAGGCTCCCTACGGATGGAGAGCTGCTGCCTTCTCTGGCACCTTGCCAGCCCACTGCTCTCTCCTCCTGTGCTTCCTAGGTACCCATGGTGTCCATAGATGACAGTCCACCGGCCCTGGCAGCCACGTCGAAAGCCACCACAGAGCAGGACGAGGACACCACAGGGCAGCACGAGCACCACTTCCTGGACCCCAGCTGCCGCATCTGCCTGGGTTGGCGGGAGACACGGGCTGGGTGCAGGGGTGGTAGGCAGGCTGGGGCTGAGTGGGGGCTCAGCAGCAACAGGGATCCATGGCCTGGGGAGAAGGTGGCAGGGTGGGCCTATCTGTGTCCCGGGTCACCTTGAAAAGAACCCAGTTCAAAGCCTGGCTCCAAAGCCCTAGGCTGGCTTCATCTAGCCGCCTGCCTTTCAGCCTCTGCTGCTCTTCTTTGTAGACTGGAAGCCCTCGTGTGAGCTGCCAAGCTCTTTCAAAGCTACTAAAAGGATAGGGGACAGTATCTTCAAGAGAGCTCCAAGCCCAGCCCTCCCATCCTCTCCAGAGACGCCCCAAGCTAGGGAGAAGCCTCCCACACAGCTCCAGGACAGGTGTGGGGCTGGGGCTGGGAGGGGTCAGAGGGGGCGGGGTGCCCACCTGGGGGGCAGAAGACACAGTATGGCCTTTTCTTTCTTTGTGGCCTGGGGCAAGTCCTGCCTCTTCTGTGGGTCTCAGTTTCCCCATCTGTGCAATGGAACCAGTCATCGCCACCTGCTGGTTCCCCCCACAAGGCCATGCTCGGACTAGTGTTCCAGCACCCACATGGGGAATACAGAACCTTCTCTGAAAAGTAGGGAGATGGTGACGGATGGCCTGATAACCTGCTCTGTCTGGGCCTCTCTGTCCCTCTCTCTAGGCTCCAGATGCCTGCCGGGCCCACAAAGGCTCTGCCCAGCCAGCCGCCCTGGGAGGGAGCTTTGGACATGTTCTCCATCAAGCGGTTCAGGGCCAAGGCCCAGCTGGTGTCTGGAAACAGCTGTCGGCTCCTCACGGTACTCCGGCCCTGCTCGCCAGGGTCGTCCCCCTCACACACCGGGAGTCAGCTCCTCACACTGCTTTCATTCTTTGATTCTCTTACTCCCTCATTCTAGAACAAGGCATTTGCGCCTCTCTGGGCCTGGCCCTGTGCTTGGCACGGGACCAGTGAGACACCAGCCCCACTCCTGCGGAGACGCACAGGGGTCAAGGACTCCCTGTAACCGAAGGCATAATGCGAGAGGGCCCTGGGAGAGGAGTGTGGTGCCTCCCTGACCCCAGGGAGTGGGGGTTAGGAGGGATGGTCAAGTGACTATTGAATGGTCAAGCTGAACTGAGGGATGGGAGTGGAAAGGTCAAGGAGGGAGGAAGGAGCTTCTGAGGAGCTGCAGGGGTGGGTCCAGGTAGGCTGTAGCCCTCCAGGGACAGTCAGGGCTTCCCAGGCTGCCACTGACCTTCCTGGGGTTCTGGTATACCATCCTTGTCACTGAAGGCTGTGGCTTTGCCATGGCGGGTGTGGAGCATGTGCTAGGTGGGTGGGAAGTTGGGGGCTGACTGGCTGTCCTCCCTGCCCCCAGACCCTGCCTGAGGTGATCCGTTCGGCAGGCTGCATCCCCTCTGGTACTGTCTGGGAACTTTTGGCCAGCGTCTGCCCGGCAGAGGCCAAGGTAACTGGCATCCTTGGGCACCACCTTTTCCTCCTAGCTGGGGACCCCCAGCCCTGTGCTCCGTCTCTCTCCATGTCTGGAGCAGAGGCCTGGCTTAGGCTGTCTGGGTCTGGTTCCCCCTGTAATCATAGACATTCTGTGACCCTGGGCAAGTCCCTCACTTTCCTCCTCTGGAAAGGGGGGACACGCGTCCTCACAGGGTCGTCAGAGATTTAGATGAGGGCGGGGTGTTCGCAGGAGGAAAGGATGGCTGCTCCAGAAGCCACCCTCCTTCCTGCAACTGCAGGACATCTGCGTGGTCAGACTGTGCCCGCACGGGGCTCGGGACACCCAGAACTGCCGTCAGCTCTATTCCTACCTCAACAACAAACAGCGCCACGGCCTGGCAGCTGTGGAGCACGTGGGCATGGTCCTGCTGCCCCTGCCCGCCTTCCAGCCCCTGCCCCCCAGACTGCGCCCTCTTGGAGGCCCCGGTGAGTGCCCCAATGCGCGAACCAGACCCTGCCTCTCCTGCCCTGTGACCAGCGGGGAGCGCTGTTGAAGGTCAACCTGGTGTCCACGGAGGAGGCAGGCTCAGCTCAGCTCAGCAGGGAACTCCTGAGACTGGCACATGGAGTGACCATCATAGCTCCACATTGCTTACTGGGTGCCAGGCAGTGTTCTAGAAGCTTCACTTCTATTAATTTACTGAGTCCTCAGAATCACCCCCATCAGAATGCTGATGTCGGTTTCTCCATTTCACAGATGAGGAAACTGAGGTAGGGAGAAAGCTGGTGACTTGTCTGGAGTCACGCGTCCGGTCAGGAGCAGGGCCAGGCCTCACAGCCAGGGGGCAGGGCTGCAGAGACTGGGCTGCTGACCACCACACGGACTGCCTCTTCAACTGGGCATCTGGATTAGAAACCCCTGGGGCGGCCACAAGGAAGGCAGACACAGTGGGACAGAGGCAGGACCCGCAGACAATCGAAACCATCACCTAAGATGGGAAGGAGGGAGGTTTTCACCGCAGTGGTCCTAGGCCAAGGTTGGCCGTGGTGCACAGGGCGTGGCTCCAGCAAAGCCCCCGGGGTGGGGGTGGGGGTGGTGTTCAGGGGGTTGGCTGCCTCCATTTCCAAGCGGAACACTTGGCCTTTCTGGGCTGCCTGTCCTGGGGACAATGTGGCAGACTGAATCCATAGTGTCTTGAGGTCAAACCGTCCATTGCCCTACCCTTCATCAGGGGAGTCCATTCCCGTGTCTGGGACAGGCTCACCCTCTTCTTACTGTTCCCAGCATCTCATGGGCCCCCGTCTCACTGCTCTCCTTGGGGCCTCCTCTCCAGACCTGCTGCTGCCACAGTGCAGCTTCTGGGGACGGTGTGTTCTCTCCTATCTGGCCCTTGGTCTCTCTGCTCCCTCTTTTCCCAGGCCTGGAAGCTGCTCACTCAAGCCTGGTCCTGGCTGTGCTGCTCCCCAAGGCAGGACTTCCACACACAGCGGAGTCCAGCCCTTTGTGGGGGAAGGTTCGAAAGATGGTCTCCTTCAACAGAAAAGTGGAGAGGAGGAGCTATCAGCCAGAGGACAGGAGTCCCAGCGTGGCCTTGAAGGGCTCCCCTTCCCCAAAGGGTGCTCCGCTGCCGAACCAGGACGCGGGCAGCCTGGATCCAAAGGGAATTTGTGCTTGGCACAGGCCTTCCAGAGGCAGGGAGAGACTGTGGGGAGAGCCAGAGGCCTGGCAGGGTCCTCGGCGAGGGCAGTGGTCCCCCAAACCAGGCTGGTGCCAGTCATGGCATCTCCATTCAGCAGCACCATCTGGCCCCGGCCAGCACCTCCACAGGGCCTCCTGTCCCCACCAGGCCCTGCTCCAGCATCTGGAATCCCTGGTGTCCATGAGCCACCAGCTCCAAGCCTCGCTGAGCTCCCCAGGCCAGGGGCTCTTTCCCCCAAACCCTGCCCAGCCCCCTGAAGCCCCTGGAATTCTTGGCCTATTTTGCCAGCCCCCTGCATCTCCAGAGCCCCCTGGACAGGCTCCTGACTCTTTGGGTCCTACAGATGGAGCTGGTTCTGAGTGTATCCTCCCTAGAGAGACCTGACCCTCATTGCCAACCAGAAGAGAGGCCTTGATTCTGAATCTTCTGTTTCCGGAGAGAGGGAGGGGCAGAGGAAGCAGGGGAGGGTCAGCTGTTTGAGTTTCTTGTTCTGCGGTCTGCTTGGTGTTGATTTTTGGTTCAATAAAGAGTTTGGCAAAGGTGAGGTTGCCTCTGCTGGCTAATCAGGAGAGATCCGGGGCCGGGCCAGGGGTGGGTTGGGGTAGGTGTGTCTGACTTTCTGTGTACAGATGTAGCAGAGCTGAAGTGCTGGGGATGGAGGGGGCAGCCCTGCCAGTTGCTTGCCTTGAGCTCCTGAACCATCACTGCGCCCCAGGGCACAGCTGTTGCTGTGGTGGGTTCTGGAAGCATTCTGCAAGTATTCTGAACTAGGAGGAAGAAGCCATGGGAGAGAGGGCGGGACTAGGGTGGGGGAGACAGAAATGAGGCTTTTGCTGGGGCACAGACACCAAGAGATTGTTAGGGAGAAAAAGGAGAGCAAGTTGCAATGATTTCAGTCCCCCCCCCATTTTTTTTCAGTTACCAGCAATTTTTTCATTTGGCTAGTTGGGTACCACCATATTCCCTCTGTGTCTCTGTGTCCATGTGGATCTGTGAGTGTCTCTGTACTCATGGGCTTGTGAGCGTGTGTGTGCCTCTGTGTGCATGGATGTCTGATAGTGTGTGTGTGTATGGGTGTCTGTTGAGTAAGTTAGGAGATCCATTTAGGATGACTCTTCTCTGCATGTCTTGCCAGCTCCCAGAAACTGGTGCAGGAGAAAACCACGGGTCTTGGCCTGGGAAGGGGTGGGCATTCAGGGCAGGCTGGGAAGCTCGTTGTGTTAGGGCGGGATGGTGCTGCTTTGCCTGGGGCCTGGAGTGAGCTCCTAACAACAGCTACACTTGTAAAGCATTTCAGTGTGGGGTGGACCCCGGGAGAACTGAGTCTGGGGACCCACCTGGAAACTAGCTGCCCCCTGGCTGCCTAACCCAGTGGGAAGAGGCAGGGCCCTGCTTAGAGGAAAGAACTTCTGGCTGGACCCCTCCTCCCTCCTCACCCCGCCTCCCCGGTCCTAAAGGGGTGTATATCCCGTCCATCCCTCTGGAAGTCTACCTGTGCACCCGCCTCGCTCTGGAGCGTGCTGTACTGGGAAGGATGGGGCATTGGTTGTTTGGGGGAGTTCCTCTTCTCTGCCCCACGAGCTCTGCTGCTGCCCTACCCGCGGTCGACAGCAGAGGGGGCCCTCGGCCTAGGGATGGAGGTCGGGGCTAGCAGGACCGGAGGACGAACTGGGGGCGGGGAGAGGTATGGAATTTTAGCCTGCGGGACAGGAAGAGGGGCCCGGAGTGTGGTGCGGGGGCAGGAGGAGGACGCAGAAAGGGGACTGGACAAGTGAATCAGGATTGAGAAAGCGGGGTTCCTTCCGTAACTTTACCGACTCCGACGGGCTAGTGAGCGCCACAGCCTCCGTTCTGTATGTAAATGACACAAATTACTATGCAACCTGCAGCCTGATCTGAGTCTGAGTCAACTTGGGTCATTTTCCTAACGCAGTTGGGGCAGGTCAAGGGGAAGACGGCTGCGCACCCCTTCTCCCCAGGCCCAGGGCTTCCTCTCAGGGAGACAGGAGAGCGTATGCTGCCTTCTCAGGGCACTCAGGGAAGAGCAGGCTCTGTACTCTCGGCCGGGCCTTCCTTTCGGAGCTTCAGTTCCCCCCTCCCCCCTGCAAATGGGGGCGATGACTCGGCCTTCCAGCACCTCGCCCCGCGAAGAGGGCTAGAGGTGGACCGCGAAATCCTGCAGCGTGCTTGGAGGCTGAGGCTGGACAGTACGACCTCCACCCACGCTTTGGCCCTAGTCCACAAGCCTCTTCCCTCGCCTTTCTTGCGGCGGAGGAGGCCAGGAGCAAGGATTAGGCGAGCTGTTGCTAGGGGGCGTGACCGGAGGTTGCTGGGCTCGAGGGACGTTGCTAAGCAACGCTGGGCGGGGCTCCCGTTGCTAGGCCTGAGTAGGAGTCCCCAGGGACCGGAAAGGCCACCTAGCTCCCCTCGGCTTCAGTGCAAGGCGCGACTTTCTCCGGGCCTCAGCTTCCCCCGGGCTGGACGCAGTTTCCGAGGGTCCTTCCGGTTCACACCCTCCGAGACTCCGTGATCCTCTGGGCTCTGGAGCGAGGAACCCTGGGTCTTTGGGCACGTGTCTCTGCGCTTGCTTGAGCGGTAGAGGGGGCAGGGGGGCTCGCATTTGGGTTTCCATAGCAACCGCTCCTGTGTCGTCCCATTTCTCCCAAAGGTTTGAACGGTAGCGTGTAGAAATTTGCATATATCTGCATGTCATTAACATAGAGGCGGGGCCGGAACTTGTTTGGGCAACTATCCCGGGACAGTTCCCTTTGCTTCTCTCTCATCCCGCCCGAGGGGCACGTGGGCCGCGCATGCGTGAGTGTTTCGCTTGTTAATGTTCCCAGAATTGGGGTGGGTGGGTGATCTGTAATAGTGACCTCCCGTTCTGGCCCTTTATTGAACCATTAGCATGAATTCGTCCAAGTACTCTTGACCAGCACCCCCATGCAATGCCAGGCCTGGTTGGAATCCCAATTCTGCCCTCTCCTGTCTGTGTGGCCTTGGGCAAGTTTAGTTCCCCTCTCTGTGGCTCAGTTTCCTTCTTTGTAAATAGGGATACTAATCCTTAATTCACCAGATGATGTGAGGATTTGATGAGATGTCACTTTTATATCCACTTATGCTGCTTCTGGCACACAGCAGGCCCTTAGTAATGGCTTCTACCCTCCCTTCTTAGAATCCAGCTCCTCTCAGGACCCAACCGAAGCAAATTAACTTCCTTTGCAGCGCCAGACTTGACAACTAAACACCAGCAAGGACTTCCAGATGTCAGGATTCAAGGCACAGGGTGAGGACTATTGGTTTGCCTGTTTGTCCTTGGAGGCTGGAGGCCAGGTTGGTGAAGCATGGCCCCCATCCCCCACCCATCACCACCCCCACACACTCATGCACGTCCTTACACCCCTTCCCCTCCAGCCTCCATTTGTTCTGTATAGCCTCTTCAAAACCTGGAACGTCCCTCCTGGGTCTGACTTCAGCCCTTCCTGCTCTGGCCTTCTTGCCTTCCTTTTTCCCAGAGTCCCCATAACCTTAGCCTTGACTACTAGGGTCAGAGGGGAGGCAGAGGAGGTGGTAAAGGAGGAGAATCAGTTCCACTCTGTGTTGGTCCCTTCGTTCTCAATTAGGTTCACATAATTAAGATAAATGAGGTTGGCTCCTCTCCTGGGTAGATGAAGTTTGTTGGTGATGGAGAGGGAGGGTTGGAGCTGGATTCTGATTGGTTGATTGGCTTTCTGGAGGAGGTAGGAGTACATGGGGGCTATACCCTACAGTTGTCACTCTGATCACTGGATGCAAGACTGCTGTCCGCCTGCGGATGGCAGTGGGCCAACTCCTTCCCTTGTAGCCACCTGTGCTCCACAGGTAAGGGTTCCAGGGACAGGCTGAGAGCCTGGCAGTGCCCGGCTGGCCTGCCTGTGTCCCACTCTGGGGGCCAATTAAGTCTCCATCCCTAAGGCAGCAAACACCTGCAGCTACGGAGGCGAATTAAGAGCAACAGTCGGCATAATACACAACCCGATAAGTGAGCAATTAACAACCAGAGAAAGATTAATAGAAGCAATTACGTCCTACTCGGAGCTCTGTAAATACGACTGTCAGTGGCTGAGAGAGGCAGTCGAGTCCCGCCCAGCCCCACCCCAGGCCACAGCCTCTGCAGGGATGGTAGCCAGCCCAGCCAGCCTGTGGACTCCAGACCCCAGAGCCATATACACATGAGAAATGTACACATGTGCAAACATACACACATATATAGACATACATTTGCGGCAAGACAGTCCACATGGTCTAGTCACACAATACACAAGTCCCCTACTGTCATCCACACTCACAAAAAAATGTGTTCATGGAGATACATGGAAGTCCTGCCAGAAATACACATAGATCCAGGAAAATATCCCCAGTGTCACATAGAGACGCTTCCCTGTTTAACAGAGAGCTATAACCACACAGACTACGAGACATACAGTGGCACGTGCACAAATCTGGACATGTACACAGACACAGCTGTGTTCCCAGGGGTTCCCATGTGCACGTGGCACTTGCCCTCCTTTGATGCCTGCCTTGCAAAGGGTCATCCCTGGAGAGCTGCAGCGGGGTATCAGACTGAGAATTGGAACCAAGGTGGGAAGGGACAGAACACTTGGGAACACACACGCAAGCATGTCTGCATGCATGTAACTCGAAGCATGCACGTCCTCGTGACTCACGGGCATGTGCTTGTGTGGAAACAGGCACATGCCTTCCATCTGTGTGCCCGTGTGAATGTTTGTGCGGCAAGATGGGTGCACGGGTGTGTGTCCACGTGCCCGTGTTCAGTGGAGCTGTGACTACCATGTGGGTTTCCAGTTCATGTGTGAGCCTGTGCCACCCCTCATGACCGGCTAATCGGGTGACTACTTCCGAGTGGCTTTATGAGTGTCCTGTCTGTGTTGCGGCTGGTGAGGGGAGTCCCTGCAGGAGCTCCCCGGAGAGCCTGGGGGTACCAGGTGCCGCCTCTAGGGAACAGGGCTCTAGGGCTCCTGGGGCAATGTGGTTTCCTTCACAGGGACTTCCGGCCCCTCTAGGGGGACTTGGCACAACCGAGCCTCACCCAGGCTGAGGGAGAGAGATGAGAATCATCAAGAAAGGGACCTGGAGGTTAATTTCTCCCTACTGAAAGCTGAGAATAGGTCCCTGTCCCTCTCCCACTTGTGTCTGGGGGCTTTCCATGGAAAACCTGCAGAGCCAAGACCCAAGCACCTCACCTATGGTCTGTGACATAGGTCGTCATACACAGAAACCCCAGACCACAAGGATCCAGCCATGCGGACACACAAACCTGGACAGTCATGAATACAAACATATAACTCCACTCACGGTCACACCCAGACCCAGCCACCCACGCG